ATTTTAATGATTTCTGTTCTGTAAATCAGTAGCAGCTTGCATTTGAAGCAATGGTGATGGTTAGTGTCTTGAATGATGCTCTCAAGAGCATGTACAATGCAGAGAAAAGGGGTAAAAGACAAGTCACGATCAGGCCATCCTCAAAAGTGATTATCAAGTTCCTTTTGGTCATGCAGAAACATGGTTCGCCTGTTATCCCGTTCTATACAAGCTTTAGATAAAACTGTATTAATATCTGAATATCTTCTTTTCTTATGATTGGTCATGTAGGTTATATTGGAGAGTTTAAGTATGTTGATGATCACAAAGTAGGAAAAATTGTCGTCGAATGGAGGTAGGTATTTGAACATGTGTACCATTTCTAATTGTTGCATAATATTTATGTAATATGGCTTCCCTGCTAATGGTATCCTACAAGTAATCCTTTTAACTTAATTTTTATTTTAAAGATTGGTGGGTGTCTATGAGAATGAGATGTGGGGATGGCTACACATTAGTTGATAACATGAAATCTGTTCAGGGATTTGATTCCAGGTTTTCATAGAATGTGTTTTCTAATATTTATGTGTAATTCTCTTCTGAGGTACTGGACCACTTCTGATCCTATAATTTTTCTTGTCAAAGTGTTAGTATGCAGAGTGCTTCTAGTTAGGATATTTTTGGTTCTTTATCATTTGAGTCCTGTGTTCTGCATGCTGTTTGTTTGTTAGCTTATTGCCATGTCTTGAATGAATATATTTGAATCCAGAATTAAATAGTTTAGAATGCCTGAAAACAGAGTATGTAGGGCTAAAAAAAAAGTGATTTTAGGTGTTTCTTTGAGTGCCTATAGAGCTCAACTTCAGGCGCTTGAAAATTAGGATAATTTTCTGACCCTAAAAAATTATACTTGGTGCGCAGTTTCAGTGTTTGATAATAACATAAGTGCAGGCGCTTTAGAAAGTGCTTGGAAATTAGTTTATTTCAGGCGCTTTAAAAAGTGCTTGGAAATTAGTTTATTGCAGGCATTTTAAAAAGTGCTGGGTGCCTTTTGTAGGCGCTTCATAAGTGGCTGTAAATTAGGTTATTGCAGGCGCTTTAGAATGCACCTGCAAATTAGATTACATTCAGGCGTCCCCACGTTCGCCCACTGCACTCTTTCTCAACACATGATTTGCAAGCCCCATACAAGCGCTTTTTTAAGCGCTGGCTATGCTTTTGCATGCACACAAAAGCGCCTGCAATCACCTCTTTTAAGTGCCAGCAAAAGCAGTAACCTTTGTAGTGACGTCCAATGTTCAATCCCAAGTTTAGATTCCTTTGAGGCTCCTTGGATGGGATTTTGAACCTTACAAAAGATATTGAGATATAGTCCCCAATCCCCATCTTCAGATTCCCATCTTCAAAAAAGGTTAAAAAATAATAATAATAATAATAATAGAGTAAAATTAATTATTCATGTCGTCTGTACTCTGTAGTGTTACTATTTTGTATTGACGCGGAATTAATTGTTTTCGTTGTCATTCTCAGCATGTTTTGAATGTGTTTTTCCGCCAAAAAGTTGGTTCCATTCTCAAGAAATTTCTACGGTGCGTTGACCATGGTGTTAAGAAACCAAAGATTCTAGACAAGAAGAATGGAATGAAAATCAAACTCAGATTAAAATAAAAATAATTTAGCTTTTAAATAGGTTTTGCAAGATAGTTTCACCTAAAAAGATGACTATCTTATAAACCAAACTTATCTAATCTATTTTAAATGTTAACAATCTAACTAAATAATAGAAAGATTTCCAACATAATCACTGTTTATAAAACTTACGAGATTTGTCTGGTCACCTTTCTTGTAGAATAGATCAAAATCTACAGTTTCACGTAAATACCTGAAAATTCTTTTAGCAGTCTACAAGTGCAACTCCTTTGGATGCTCCATATATCTGCTAATTAGACTTACACCATGCATTATATCTGGTCTTGTCGTTGTTAGATACATCATACTTCCAACAATTTGCTTATACAGTTTGCTGTCCACAAATTTACCACTGGGATCTTTCATCAGCTTCACCGCTTTGTCAACTGGTGTAGTGATAGAATTGCAGTTCTTCATTTGAAATCTGTCTAGAACTTTCTGCACATATTTTTGCTGACAAACAAAAATTCCAAAATCTGACTGTACTACTTCCAGACCAAGAAAATAATGCAACAAACTCAGATATGTCATATCAAATTCAAGCGTTATGGACTGCTTAAACCTTTCCAACATACCAAGATCATTCCCTGTATAAATTAAATCATTAACATATAAGCATACTATAATTAATTTACCTCCATTTCCAAATTTGATGTAAAATGTATGCTTATAAGGGCACTTCTAAAAACCTTCCTTCAGGAAATAAGCATCAATTTGACTATAACAAGCTCTAAGTGCTTGTTTTAGTCCATATAATGCTTTCTTCAATTTGTAAACCTTATGCTCAAAACTAGGTTTCACATAACCAGGAGGTTGATCAGTAAACACCTGTTCTTGCATATCTCCATGCAAGAAGGTCGATTTCACATCAAGCTGGTAGATCAACCGTAAGTTCTATGCCGCCAATGTAATCACCAATTTGATGGTATCCATCCTTACAACTAGAGCAAAACTTCTTGATAACCAATGTCGAACTCTTATTTGTAACCTTTTGCCACCGAGCAAGCTTTGAATTTGTCAACCTCCTTATTTTCTATGAGTTTTGTCTTGTAGATCCACTTAACACCAATTGTCTTGTGCCTTTCTGGAAGATCTATTAACTCCCAAGTCTGGTTCTTTTCAATAGAACCAATTTCTTCTGTCATGGCCTTTTGCCACTTTTCTTCTTTAATAGCCTCTTCATATGTCAAAGGATCACAATATGCAAATAGATCAAAATGAGTAAGTGGAACATCATCTTAAGGTAGATTTATTACCTCATAATCCTCCAACCATGTTGGTCTTCTCTTTTTGCATTGAGGTCATGAACTAGTTTTAGATATCAGTTCTGGTGTTATTGGCAGACTTCCTCTAGTACTATGTTTTGCTATTGCAAGCAGACTTTCCTCACTTGCCTTTCTTGAAGACTCAAAGTCTGCTAAAGTTAGACTTCCATTTTGCTACGTTTGACCTCTTGAGTTTTGCATAGTTAGATTTTCTCCATTTTTGAAATCTGCAGGAATTTGTTGCCCATATTTCTCTGTCCAAGACCAGGTGCTTGCTTCATCAAACACTACATCATGACTAATGTCGACCTTCTTCGTTATAGGATTGTATAATCTGTAAGCTTTGGATTGATCACTAACACAATGGAAAATACACTTTCCCCCTTTGTCATCAAACTTACTCCTTTCCTGATCTGGCATATGTGCATATGCTTTGCACCCAAAAATTCTAAATTAGTCAACAGTAGGTCTGTGTCTATTCTAAGCCTCTTTTAATGTCATATTTGGAAGTGGAGATGTGGGACTTTTGTTCAAGATATGAACACTCCAATTAACAGCTTTTGGTCAAAACTTCTTAGGCAAGCCACTCTTTGACATCAGACTTTGCACTATGTTCATAATTGTGTGATTCATCCTCCCATATACACCATTCTGTTGGGGTGCATATGCTACTATGAGTTGCCTTTTAATACCATTGGTCTCACAAAAATTTACAAATTCTTGTGAGTTAAACTCACCACCACAATCTGTATGTCTACCAGCCTTATTCTCAGTAAAGACTTCGAAAATTTTAAAGGCTGTTAAGGCTTTTGATTGGGTTTGCAAAAATACACTCGTGTTTTACAGCTATAATCATCAACAAAGGTAATAAAGTATTGTTTATCTCCATTGGATGTTGGATTTATGGGTCCACACATATCAGAATGAACCAGATCTATCACCTTTTTTTGCTCTCCAAGATCTTTCATTAGGAAAGTTGTCACGATACTGCTTACTAACCACACAGATTTCATAAATTTTTGAAGGAGTATTAAAATGAGGAAGACCATTTACCATCTTTGTCTATTGTAAGGCCTTTAACCCATCAAAATAAAGATGTCCATATCTGCAATGCCATAATCAAGATGTGTCCTTCAATTTGGTAGATAAACATGACAGATTTATAATCTGCAAATACAATGGAAACAACTTATTTCCTGTCATCTTAACCTTTGTAATTAAGCCAAGCTTTGAATCATGAACTTGGCAAACTTCATCTTTAATCAAGATTTCATATCCTTTCTTCTTAAACTATCCCAGACTAAGCAAATTTGACCTCAAATTTGGTACATATAGAACATTAGCAATAGTTTGAATTGAATTGTCTTTAGCACGAATGGTTACCTTTCTTTTTCCCTTTCCCTTGACTACAATGGTAGAATTATCACCCAATTTCACCTTGTCTTGAAAAGACTCATCTAGATTTGAAACACAGATTTGTCTCCGCACATGTGGTTGCTGCAGCCAGTATGCAGATGCCACACATTCTTCTTGTTGACTTCTTTAGGATGACAGACCATGAATAAAGAGGCATTGTCATTCTTCTTATTGTGTTTTGTGAAGTTAGAACTTTCTCCTCTATTTATATTAGCACGACACTCATAACGATAATGGCGATACTAATGACATCTAAAGCATTCAATATTTGCCTTGCTTGCAGATTTGGATATGTTATCTACAGCTTGATAATTTTTATTTTGCCACCTCTTCTGATTTCTAGTGGTTAAACTTCCCTCCAGTTTGTCAGATCTCGACCTATAGCCCTTGAATTAACTATGGTCTGCAAGGCTTACGTCTACGAAAACTACATTGCTTGCTCTTGCTTGTCATGATGGTTATCTTCTACTCATGAATTAATAACGAGTTTTGCAACTCATCAATGGAAAGTGCCTCAATATCATTTGACTCCTCAATTGAACAGACAACATAATTGAATTTTGTTGTCATGGATTGAAGGATTTTCTCAACTATGGTAACATCCTCCAGATTTTCACCATGGATCCTCATCTTGTTTGAGATTGCCATCATCCTTGAAAAATAATCATTTACAGATTCACCAATTTGCATCTACAAACTTTCGAATTTTGCTCGTAAAGCCTAGTGTTGCTGTCGCTTTGCTCTTTCATTCCCTTGGTACTTCTTCTTCATGAAATCCCAAATAGTCTTGGAAGTAAACTTGTTAAAAATTGTTTCCAAGATAGCTCGATCTATTGCTTGGAACAAATAGTTCTTAGCCTTTAGATCTTTCAACTTTTCCTTCTCAATTTCTACCTTCTATGCAGTGTCTACACCTGTTATTGGTTTTGGAACTCTAGCTTCAACAACTGTCCAATATTCTTTGGATTAGAGAAAACTCTTCATCAACATACTCCAATGGTTGTAGTGATGACCATCAAAATGAGGGATTGAGGGCTGAACATAATTTTTGGAAGCCATGGAATCTATCGGGAATAGGTTTTGATACCAAATGTTAAGAAACCAAGGATTTCAGAGAAGAAGAAAATGGAATGAAAATCAAACTCACATTAAAATGAAAATAATTTAACCTTTAAATAGGCTTTACAAGATAACCTTATCTAAAAAGTGACTATTTAATAAACCAAACTTATCTAATTTATTTTAAATGAT